AACTTGACCTTTTTGCCACCAGTTCTTGTCTGGTAGTTTACCCTCGAATGCTAGTTCTCGTCTAGTATTTCCCTTTTAAATCCACTTTTGTTGGTAACCAGAAATAAATCCCTATCACCATAAACCTGACCCTACCTAACCAAAAAGCCCAGTTGTACTTAGTACAAATTATTCCTAGTGGCTTACATGTTATCACATTCCCCGACATGAGGCTCGATTATGTATTCCCCAGGATAGTGTTGTCAAATCAGGAGTATCTCACCAGCAATAGTGCGTGCTTATCCCCAGCAGGTTGAGATTGTTACTCCCCAACAGTTTAAGATCACAACAAGTTGAAATTGTATTTATCCCCTATCAGGATTTGATCAAGGTTATCCTCGGCAGGTCGAGATTGGTATCCCCGGAAAAGTAGAGCCATCCCCATGAAATGGATTATGTACGACCATCCCCAGTGGGTTGGGATTGAAGTTTTCCCCGACAAGCAGATTTGGGTTTATTCCCCCAGCGGTGGGATGAGTGCAGTGTTGTTGCCCCCACGGAGTCTAAGTCTTTGACTCCTTTCCCCTCAGAGTCTAGGTCATTGACTCATTCCCCAAGCAGAGGTTGATATTATTAAATTTATTGCTCAAGCAGAGGTCGATGCTGATTCCTTCATTGCCTAATCCCCAGCAAAGTCAGCGGAGTAGGTTTCTTCCCTGCAGAGTGGGACTGACTCAGAGTTTTTTAACATAGAGAGTATGGGATGATCTCCTAGTAAATCTTATCCAATCTCCAGCAAAGCAGAATCTCTGACAGTATGGAGCTATTCTCAGCAATTTGCTTTGCTTCCCCAGTAGAGGATATTTTTGTTCCGGAGAATGTTATATTCTGGAAGGCCATCCAAGGCTGATTTCCCCGGTAGAATGGAGTTGTTATCTCTAGCCGAGTTGTTTGTTCCCCATAAGAGTTATATTTTGGTAGGCCATCCAGGGTGTTTTCCTCAGCAGAGTTTGATTTGATCCCCAGCGGAGTGGATTTGCTCTTAGCAAAGCACTGTTACCCAGAAACGTTCTCCAAGGCCATCCAGGGTTTAGGTTTTCCCCAGCGGAGTTTAGTTTCCCTTTCTATAGCATTTATTTTTCTAGATGTGTTTCCTTTGCATTTTCATCATGGATAGCATCCTCACAAACATGTAGCATTTCCATTTTGTATGGAGTATTACGCCATATTCAAACATGTGCATTTGAAACATAAGCCATGTTGTTACCTTTTGTTTTCAGGTATATCTATAGCAGAAAATGTCATTTTAGTAAGCTCGTGTGGTATCCAGACCCCGACTTCCTCCGGTTATTGCAGTAAGCCCGTGTGGTATCCAGACCCCGACTTCCCCCGGTTATTTCAGTAAGCCCGTGTGGTATCCAGACCCTGGCTTTCACCGGTTTTTATTGGCTCAAACCCGTGTGGTATCCAGACCCCGACTTCCCCTGGTTTATCTCTTTATCCTGTGCGGTATCCAGACCCCGGCTTTCACCAATTTTATCGGCTCAAGCCCGTGCGGTACCCAAACCCAGACTTCCACCGATTTATTTCCTGAGCCTGTGAGGTATCCAGACCCTGGCAAGTGATTTGTTTTGCCTATGCGGTATCCAGACCCCAGCAGACTATGATGTTTCCTTTAACTCATGTGGTATCTAGACCCCGATTAACATCATTTTATTCCTTTAAGCTCGAGCAGTATCCAGACCCTAGCTTACACTATTTGATTCCTCAGCATGTGTGGTATCCAGACCCCGACTGATGGTTTATCTTGCTTATGTGGTATCCAGACCCTAGCAGATTGTAAAATTTTTTCTCGCCTGTGTGGTATCCAGACCCCGGTAGATTATGATCTTCAAAGGATGTGTTCATCTTATCTTCTCAACTTTGTGTTGAGTCGGCCTTCGGGTACGATGCTCGCTTTTATTTAGCGAATGCCTGACGGCGAGGTTAGATGTTCTTCTCAACTTTGTTTTGAGTCGGCCTCCAGATTCGATGCCGGTTTGTTTAACAGATGCCTGACGGCGAAGTCAGATGTTTCTTCCGACTGCGTGTCGATGTTTTCTAATTGATAATCAGTTAGCTTATTGTCGTTGCAACTATCAAATGCAGTTTTTTCTGGGTTTCTATTCCATTAAACAATTTTGCAGTTCCACTTTTGCGGTTTTTTCTTTGGTATTCAATCGTCTTTTACCTTGAATGTTTGAAAGTCGTTCTCTTTTCATCCCTTCAGATCGAAGTAGTTTGAATAGGGGCAGCTGTTGTACCCCAAAATTTGACCAATTTTTTCCAGTAATTTGGCTTATATTTCATCTCATTTGCATCAACATATCATTTATCGCTTACTGTGCATTTTGTCAGTTAGAGCGGATTATCGGGATTACAGCCATTTTTCTCGCATTTCAAGAAACTTAAACTAGTTCAAGGAAAAAAGATTTATTCCGAAATCGAGTGGAGTTGGTTCTCGTTCTATTGGTCCAGTTAGTGCTGATATTTCCGGTGGGATTTTGGTGGTAGACCTTTTTACCGTTTATTTCGCTGCATTCTTGCATTTTTATTTACTGCTTTATTTTATTTTCATTGGTTTTTATAGAATTCTTATTTATTAGTTTTTTAGAATTTATTTTATTAATTTTGTAATAGAGATTTATTTAGAATCATTAAATATATTTTTTATTTTATTTTCATTTAATTAAACTTAGATTAAATAGGATTTAATATAGGATGTTATTTTTGTTTTAGATAGAAGATAGAAAATAGGTTTTAATATAGAGTTTTATTATTTTTTGTTTTAATAAAAAATAGAATTTTAATTAAGTTTAAAAATAGATTTTGTTTAAAGTTGATTAGTTATTATTAAGTTAGTTTTAGAATTAGCTTAGACTAGTTTTATTTAATTAGGAGTTAATTAGTTTTAGGATTAATTGGTTTTAGAATTTTATTAGTATTATTTAACTTGATTTTTAGTTAGTTGTTATTTAATTAATCAAAGTCAGCTTTCCACTTATTAGGTATTAATTTAACCGTGTCATTAGCATATTCATTAGTCATCAAGTCAACAAACATCAGCAGTTATGTTTTTTAATCTGCAATTAATCAAAGCACAGCTTCCACGTGTCAAATGCCTATATATAATGCCACTATTCATTGTCTCCCTTCTTGGGGACTGAAACCCTAGCCGCTACAGTGTCATCCCTTTCCCCACACAGGACACAACCCTAAAAACTAACCCTAGCCGCCCTCCTCCATTCATCACCATCTTCATCCTCCAAAACCCAGTTCACCATATCCTTCGTAACCCATAACAGAACCATTTTCATCTTCTTCGCAACCCATACAAACCTCCATAACCAAAGCTTCAAACACCATTAAAAGCCGCAGAAACTTTCATCGCATTGTCACCTTCAGAGAGCTTCACCTTCATCAACCTCATCTCCCTCATCACCTTGTTTTAATCATCATCCCCATGAACTTGAAATCCACCACCCTCACAAACTCCCGTTAGCGTCGTCTTCCCCAAATAACCAATAGCTCAACTTACCCAGAAACTCCACAATCGACCTCACAACCCATTTTTGTACTTCATCAAACCTTAGACGTCTCCACCATCTTCAACTGTCTCCCTCAACTCGCCTTACCACCCTCATCACAAAACCTTCTACCAAACTACCCCTGTTCTTCATTAAACCCATCCTCAAGAACATTAACAAACCATTCAAAACTCCATGGATGAAACCATCACCTTCAGAAATCACTTCAAGCCATGGAACTCTAAACCCAGATTTGCGAACACCACCAACAATTTCTTCAAATCACAAAACCTACAACAACTCCTTCAAACTTCCGTAAAACCCATTTCTACCCATTAACGACCCTCATCCGAGCTACCCATCTTTTAATAACTCTAGCTTCCATTTATTCTCTCCATTTCCAAATAGCCCACAAACCAACCTCACAACAAAACCCTTTCTCGACCCCGTCAAACTGGAAAACGGAAAAACCCATTCTCAAATTTCAACATCACGCATCACCCAGAACGAAACCCTTTTTTCCAATCCCACCGGATTCAAACCAAAACAAAACATGAGATTACAGATTGGGAAGAGATTTGCTGGATTTTGTTGCAAAGAAGAAGTTAACATCGAACTGAGAGAGCAAGAGTAAGCGTGGAGAGTGATGAGTGAAAGGGAGCTGAAAGCTTTTATGTTTTGTTTGTTTTTTTATTTTATTCTTTTCTGCTTTTGACTTGGGCTGCAAGGCCCGTTTGACTTTTTGAACGGCACAAGCCCCCTGTCCTGTACCTCTCCGTTTTTCTTATTGGGTGCTGCTGGGCTGAGCCTCATGGCCCATGGATTTTCCCACCCCCTATTTCATTTAAAACCCCCTATTCTTTCTTCTTCTTTTTAAGAAATACTATTATTATTATTATTTTGTATATATTATATTATTTATAGTTTATATATTAGTTCTATTATATTTTATACTAGTAGAAGACCCGTGCGCCCGCACGGGATCCACAGAAAAGTTAATTTATAATATAAGAGCATTTGTTAAATAGAAATAACAAAATCAAAAAGATCATAATTTCACAGTATTAATTGTGAAAATATTCAACTGTTTTAAAATATTTTGATAGTGCGTAACACAATTGGAATATGTTCAACATAGAATAAAAAAATAATAATAATAAATATTTGATTCTAATAATACAATAAGTCTTGTTAGAAGCAATTGTAGAGATTATATAACTTACAAGCATGGTAAATAAAAAGAGAATTAGAGAAATGTTCTAATTAGAAAAGAGAAAACATTATTTTGACCTTGAAAAAATGACTTACATTTGCATGGTGACATTTGTATTATTTCTTCAAAAATGATAGTGTGTGAAAGCTTAATAGAGAAATGTAGGTGTTAGGAAATATAGCAAAAAAAAAAGAGAATTTTATCAATAAAGTTAATAGTTTAAAGAAATAGTAAAATTGTACCTAGATGACGTTATGAAAAACTTCTTTGAAGACAACATTTGTTGTTTGAGTTAAGGAGTTGTTGTCTTTGTCATGTATTAAGATTTTCAATCCAGCTTTACTCTTAACTCTTGAAATAGCAACATAGAGTTGTCCGTGACTGAAAAGATTCTTGGGCAGATATAAACGAACATAATCTAATGATTGCCCTTGAGATTTGTTGATTGTCATAGTAAATGACACTATAATTGGGAATTGTCTTCTGATAAGTTTAAATGGCCATGGAGATTGAGAAGGAGACAAAGACATTCGTGGTATGTAAATAATGTTTTTGATATTTGTACCTAAAATTATCTTTGCTTGTATTACATAGTTGGCTAACTTAGTAACTGTCAACCTTGTACCATTGCAAAGCCCTTCTGATTGATCCAAATTCCTTATCAACATGACGGTTGTACCAATTTTCAATTTCAATGAATGGTTAGGCAAACCAGAAGTTTTAAGATAACTCAAGAATTCTGGTGTCAAATACTCGAAAGCATAATTATCATTTGTTTATGATCTATCAATGGAATCACAACTCAAATACTCTTCATATTCACCTTCATGAAAAAGAATGATTATTAAGGTATAAATATTTATATATTTGAAACAAAAAGAGTATACAACTCTTAAATATCATATTAAATAGTCCAACTTCACAAAATACACATTTTTAAAGAAAAGAGTATTCATGTATCAGACATAAGTAATAGAGATTAAAATATACCTGGAAGAGGATTAGTTATGTAGTCATTAATGCCGTCAACAATTTCAATAGTTGATGCTAGAATTGCTCGACATTGAAGGAAATCTGGATTTGTGTAATTTTGAAGTAGATTTGGATAGGTACTTGTAACAATTGCCTCAATTGGATCCATAAAATCTCTAATGAGTAGCTCTTTAGGAATATCTATTTCAACATAGCCATCATTGGGTTCTGAGACTTTCTCATTGCCAACTTGTAAAATCCAATCTGAGAATAGCCTAACTTCTTCTGAATTGCTTAAATTAGGACCGCTTTGCAATCTCATATTTTTGGTTAGATTCAAAACTTTACAATGATCCCAAATATATGATGCATTTATTGTTGCATGGACAATATCAGACCTAGTACCTCTTGGTACAATAGGTAAAATTTGTCTGAAATCTCCACCAAAAATTACAACTTTACCTCCAAAAATTTGTTGACATTCAACATTGTCATCACTCATTATATCCTTCAATGACTTGTCAAGAGCTTCAAAACAAAACTTATTAGCCATAAGTGCTTCATCCCATATAATGAGTTTTGTTACCTTCAAGAGATTAGCAAGATCTGATTTTTCTCAATGCTACAGATGGAAGATTCCAAACATGGAACTGGAATTTTGAATTTAGAATGTGTAGTTCTCCCACCTGGTAACAACAAACTTGCTATTCCGCTAGATGCTACATTTAACAAAATATCTCCTTGACAACGCAAAGCAGCAGAAAGTGTGTTCCACATGAAAGTCTTTCCAGTCCCACCATAACCATATAAGAAAAAAACTCCACCATTTTGATCTGTGGCAGCTTGCATAACTTGTCTAAAAATTTCATGTTGTTCATCTACATTAAAAAAGAACACACCATCAAAGTTGTTACATTAGCAAAGTTTAAATGTTCAATTCCTATTAGGAGGTATACCATAACCATTACCATATAATGAATATCATTAATATAAAATTACTAAAATCTACTCCATGAACAGTATAGAATAGATACCGCATATGTGTTTAACTTGATGAGAATGAAGATGAACAACTATTATAGAAGGCTTAATAAAGCATAAAGTAATATTATTGAAATAATAGTAAAATCAATACCCATTAATTTTTGAAATAGATTATGGTAAATCTATTCTTGAGCCTTGATATCATATTGTATTTCATCATATATCAATCTATTTCCAAGAAAGTCAAGGACATAATTATTTGGATATGACATTGGTTTAAATTCTTTCAAACTTCTTCTATTTTCTGCAGCTGCTTCTCAATTTCCATCAAAGTGAGTTGTTGAATATCTTCATCTGACAAAGTTAAATCTACAAAAAAATAAACATTAATTAATGAAAAAATAATATTGAATAAAAGTATTATAAAAGCGTTGTAGAAGTGAATAAAAGTGTTGTCAACGAAAGTGTTGTAAGCAATAACATGGAGGCGATAAAATATAACTTATTGTGACATAGATATAAAAAAAATATGTATTCATATAACCTGGATTTTGTGACAATAGTCTTTGTTCATATAGTGTTCCATCTGATAATTATATCCAAGTGTAAAGTCAGACATGTTCTGGTCGATTCAATGAAGCTGATAATAACATTGTAACAAAAAGTTTACGCAAAAATACTCCAGAACCCCAGCTATAAGCTTCTTTAATTGCCTCAATGAACTCTTTGTCATCTTCTAGGAAGGCCAATGCAAACCATGCTTCTCTAAAAGAATTGTGCTTGAACCCCTCAATTGTCTTTAATTCATCATAAGATCTTGGCCCTTTCTTCATAGTCAACAACATCCTCATATAATACAATTCTCCGGTCGTTGGTGGGACCCAAATGAGTCGGCCAATTGTGTAACCTCTTTTACGTGGTTTCCAACACCTTTTCCTCTTGTCATATACAAATTCTGACACAAATTGTCCATATGTTAAAGTTCTTGCTTCTTCATATTGGCTATTTGCGAGAAACCAAGAAGTAAATATTGATTCTGTGACACTTGGTTTAAGTAGGAGAGTACCTATTTGCTCAAAATCTTTGTAGTACACAGAATTCTCTCCTTCCATGTGAAAAAATAATCTTTCAACATGAATTGAATAAGAGAAGATTCTCCAGCAAGGTTCACTTGGTGATACATATCTACAATCAAGGTATTGCTTGATTTCATCAGTATTTCCATCTTAACCAGTGTTATTTGGAACGATAACAGCTGAGATCCTATCAGAACCCTTGTTGATGTATTTGAAAAGATATTTAATTGACGTACTTTGATTGCACCACTCCATATTTATATGTGCCTCATATTTCATCAGCAAACTTGGATTATCGGGTACAACATGACCACTGTGCAGTGTGACTCCGTTTTTCTCAAATGTATTACCTTGATCTCTCCTTCTATAAACTAGATATCCATCTTGATCAACAATTGTGACATCTTGAAATTTCTTAGGATAGTACTTGGAACACTTACCATCTTTCATGCAAGGGCATTTAGGATTTTCTAAACCACAAGGTCCATGTGCCATGTGGGTTTTCACCATATTATACAGTCTTGGATGTTTCAATGGATCGGGAACTTCAGCAGAAATGATTTTGTCTATGTCTTCAGGAGTGGGTTATTTATTTGATGGATGCAAGAAAATAAGAATGTGTGCATGTGGGAGACCCCTTTTCTGAAATTCAATTGTGTACATATATGAAAATATTTTCAAATGTTAAAAAAATAAATACCTATGAGAATTGGGTAAATAAGAATGTGTGCATGTGGGAGACCCCTTTATGTGTAAACATTGGATAAAGTAAAATGATAGCAAAAAAGAAATGGTAGACTTACATGCGAGAACCTTGCCTAAAACACCTTTCTTTGTCATGTTTCCTAGGAGGTTATCAAACTTCATTTTAAATATTCTAGCAATGATATCAGGTCTATCATGTGGCTTCAAATTTTGAGGACCAAGCAATCTTTGAATTTCTGGCCAATTTGGGCTGCATGTGAATGTAATGAAAAGATCTGGAAATCCCACCTTACTACAAAATGCCATGCCATCATAGTACAATTGATCCATAAATCGTCTACTCCCCCACATAAGATGATGGTAATATGACTCTTTTTCCTATGCTTGATCCATTTGTTTGTTCTTGCTCTACATTTATACTTGTATACTTTGACACTCTTAGTTTGGACTGATTTTTCCTAATCCATTTCAATCTCTCTCCTTCAAGCATTGTGTAACCATCCACCAAAAACTGTTGAAACAATCTTCTGGATGATAACAAAGTCTTTGCCTCATTGCACCTACTTTTGATTCTAAATGTTAGCCATTCTCGAATAGTTAGTCGGTTCCTTTGACTGTCATCAAAAATGTCAAGATCTCTGTGTGCAATGGCGTCTCTATATCTATCCTCTCCATAAGGAAAATTCAAGGGATACTGGTAAGACAAGTAAGCTGGATGAAACTCATCAATGCGTTGAAGTTGCCCCCCTTTGGCTTGCATTATAATGTCTCTTTCTTCAGCAGTGTCAATGTCACCAACAATTAAAGTTGCCACTTTAGAAACAGTTGGTTGATTGTACAATCTTCCATCAGTAGACCTAGTTGAAATCAATTTGAGTTTTAAATTATGAACATTGTTGTGATTGAGCCACTGTCTAGCCATTAAGAAACTTTTGGCATGTGTGTTATGTGTGTACAACACATCTAACAACTTTTGTATAGTCTCGGGCTGGATGTTGTTTTTGTTTCTACAACAATGACAAAAAACTAATTAGTGTGCATTATAACGATAATAAGATATAGGTAAATAAACATGATGTTTGGTTACCTGAGACCGTCCACTCTATTTGTAACTTCATTTTCAGTGCCATATATGTAAATTTGGGCAAATTTAGGTGGATGTCCTTCTGGTTGTAATAAACTACCAATTCGGTGGCAAGCTTGTCCTTGGATTCTAATAGTAGGTGGGCCACGACCATTATCAAATCTATTGTGCAACTTAGCTCCCGGTGAAGTGAAAGCAAACATCATGTTGTATGTCCTTATTTGTGACTGGAAATTCTTACTATCCATGGCATTATGATCAAACAGAAGATGTGATAAAGGTTGCGGTGGATGTTTTAAAAATGGAAGTTCGACTTTACCATTTCCACAACATAAAAAAAATTTGGGATTTGCTGAATGTTTCTCTTTGTGCATCCTTTCTTGATACCACATTATTGCTTTACAATATCGACACTCAATCAAAGGATCTCCCAAATCGAAGTACTCTGTGTATAATACAATAATTTTATAATTAAAGCAGTGAATAGAATAATAGTAAAAGTAACATTTTGTATTTACTCAAGATTTATGTTGGTTACCTTCATTGTTTATGTCTGGTTGGTTCGCTGTTGAAAAAGGTGGCAAACCATTTTCATTATTAAGGCTTTCATCTTCATCATATTGCATTGCTGTTGTAAACATACTAATTATATCATGAATTGTATGTGAAGAAGCATGTTTTAATTATACCAAGAACAGAAACACATGTGAATAAACAGGTATTATGAGATATACATTTAACAACAATTTCATCTTAAAAGGTATATGAGGATATTCAATGTAGTGTATCTCTTCACACCTATCCTTCAAATTTTAGTAAATAGAAGGATATGAGCAGGGACGTAAAC